CATCTACATCACTAATTAAACCTAACTTTGATTTATTTAAGTAAAATAAATACCATATCAATTTTTCTCGGAGATAACGTAGGAAATATTTAATTCTATTCCAATGTCTTCGTATTGAAGCGTAACTATGTCTTGTTAATAAATTTATAAAAAAAGGCTATATCAAATCGAGCATCATTAGCAAGATATATCAATACACCAATTAAACTAAAATATGATACTTCGGGATACAATAGTTCTTCGTTATCTTCTCGAAGTCAAAAATGATCTTTATGGATATCAAGTAAACGAACTACCATTACGTTAGTTAATGGAAAAGCTTTATATAGAATCATTATAAAAAAATTTCTATATAAATTGACTAATGAATAAAAATCTCATTCTCTAAATCCTCAAATTACAAATCGAGATAAAATTTTGTTTTCCCACGAGTATTCACATCAAATTCTTTTTTTAGATAACTCATGGCACTCGAAATCTCTTTAGAAGTTTCAATAATATTTAAATCATCATCATTTACAAATAAATCACAAACCCCTTTTCAAATTTCTTTATAAAAATAAACGAATAAATATGGGTGTTTTTATAACCTTCTTTCACATTAAATTCTCTTTTTAGATAACTCATTGCATTTGAAATCTCTTTAGAAGTGTCAATAATATTTAAATCATCAAAATTTACAAATAAATCGCAAACCCCTTTTCAAATTTATTTATAAAAATAAAAGAATAAATATGGGTGTTTTTATAACCTTCTTTGAATAAATATTCATTGAGACAATTGTACCACATACACATAGTTTAGTAATAAAGAGTAGATATTGAAAAAAAAGTATAGATTTAATTGAATTTCTAAAGCTAAAGTAATAAAAAAACATTAAGATAATCCTTATCGAGATCTCTATAATTTAATTGAATATATTTTTCAAAAATATGTATTACGTGTTTTAGGCATCTTAAGTCCTTCTAAGACTTTCATATAGATATCATTTTCAACTCGAACAAATAAGTTATGATCACATGCATTAAATGCATGCATATGAAGTTTTTTTACATATTTTGTCACGATAACGAGATAATGAAATGTTATTGCATCCATCACAAGAGACTATGTCTCTTCATAGTCAATGTCGAGTTTTTGCAAAAACTCTTACGTTATAAGTCTTGCTTTATGTCTTACAATCTCATCTTTCTTATTTTGTTTCCGTGTATATATATATATATATATATATATATATATATATATATATATCTCACTAACTTAACATATTAAAGTGTTTTGACTATGGGTTCAAAAACTACTCATATTGTAAGAGAACATAATTATATATATATACACACACAAATACATATTTATATCTCATTAGCTAAACATATTAAAGTGTTTTGACTATGGGTTCAAAAACTACTCATATTGTAAGAGAACATAATTATGTGAGGATTGCTCTTTTCATTTAAGTCGATCATTTCTATATCGATATTCTTCAATAGATTTAGGCTCGGGATCCTTATTTTCATTTAAAATATCAATTAAAGCATTATATGTAACAATGTAATCAATAAATATTCTTTTCGTTCCTATTTTCTCCATGTATTGACATAATTTATCAAAATCTCTTGATTTTTCTCAAGCATTTGGACTTCTTCTAGAAGCTTATTATCAAAAATATCTTGGACCATTTTATAAATATTTGCATCCTTTATATTTTCATCTTAATTACTTATTCTTATATATATATATATATATATATATATATATATATATATATATATATATTTGTCTTTATCAATCTTTCACGCTTCGAGTGTGTTTTAGATTCATTTGCTATAATATTAATAGATCATCCTTTTGGAATATCAATTTTAATAGGAGCACTCTTAGCAAGGACATGTGTTTTAGTTTTTTTTTTTTTTTAATCTAAGAATGCATCAAACAATTGGTTTGTAAAATTTTATAAATGAATTATCTTCTAAACTTCTAGTTCACGTTATTTTGTGCGAGGATCAAGATGATGTAAAGGTGAAGTACTTCATGCAATCTCTTTTTTCAATAGTTTTAACTACTTATTTTGCTTATTATCTCGCCCTTAATGTTGAAAAAACTATTTTATCAAAATAATAATCGATAAATCAAGCTATAAAAATATCTTATATTTATGGTTTAAGATATTTAATTATTGAAGAGAATTTCAAATCCAACATATATTTTCAATCTCTTTTAAGTGCTCATTTTAGTTTGTTGTAGAGGAGCACTAAAGATATATACTCGCACAATAAAAAATTCTTAGATGAAAAATATTTGATTCATGACCGAAACCAATTGAAGGAAAGAAAATTTCGATAACTTGTAGGTCTAATACGAATAATTATTGCAACATATAAGATTGTATGTCCCCAAACATAAATAGAGAGTTTTGTTTCATAAGTAATGGTTTAGCTATTAATTGAAGCCTTTTGATAAATGACTCTTCTAAACCTTTTTTGAGTATGAATATGAGCAACATGCTCGTTCAACATTTATTATAGTAGTCAATTAATAATCAATTTAATACTTGAAGATAAATTCATCAGCATTATCAAGATAAATTGTTTTAATGGCATAATTTAGAAATTATGCTCGTAATGAAATTATTCGAGCTTGCAACCTCGTAAACGTCAAGTTTTGAGTAGATAATAAACATACATGTGACCATCTTATGGATGCATTTATTAAAATTATAAATATCTAAATGATTCATATGGTGAATAAATTAGTCCACATATATCACCTTGAATACGTTTTAAAAATACTAAAGATTCTTAATTTTAATTAGTGATGACATAATAATCGGTTTGTCTTGAAAACATGTAGAATATAAAAATTCATTAGATTGAAGAATCCTCTTGCTCTTCAATTAAATGCCCATATGAATTCTCAATAATTTTTTGCGTCATGAAAGTCCCAAGATAACCCAACTGGTCATGCTACATAATAAAGGTATTTGAATTAGTAAACTTTTGGTTTATTGTAGCATTTGTTTCAATCATTCAAATGTTTGTAATAAAGACCGAAGTGAAAATGAGCAATTTTCGAATACATATTTTTCTACTCAATATAATAATTATAATATATAAGTATTTAATTTTTCCATATTTATTTTCTTGATATGATGTTCTTTTAAAAGAATATATTTGAAACTCAACAAATTTCTATGAGATTTTAGAGAGAATAATACATTATTTATAATAAAATTTATTCATTCAAATAATAATATATTTGCCCTTCTAGAGCTTTTAAATTCTGTCACTTCAAGTAATAATTTATTTGCTCTTCTAAAGCTTTTAAAAGTTATCTCTTCAAGTAATAATATATTTGCTCTTCTAGAGCCTTCAAAAATTTATCTCTTTTCGGTAATAATGTAGTCATTCTTTTGGAGCTTTTTGTTAGATTGATATTATCGGACATAATATTAATAAATAATTAATAATTAAATAAAAATAAAATAAATAAATATATTCTTCATAATAAATAAATAATTATATAGCAACATAAATTTGTAATTATCACTATGCAATAAAAATTATAAAAAAATATAAAATATCTTATTTATAAATAGAAAATCGAAGAAGTTATTAATTTCAATTATCATTATTTTGATATATAAAATTGGCCTTTATATTTTACTTTTTTTTTCAACGAGGCTTGATAATGCTCAATGAGATGCTTTGACGTATGATAAGTGCGCGACTAATGTCCTTTCATGCCAAATTTATAACATTCACTTTCAAAATGCTGATTTTATCTATTTTTATTTTTTTTTCATAGTTTATTCACTTTTAGTGGTGAGGTTTATTATTATGGTCATCGTAATAAAAACGATAATTATTTCAATATGACTATAGTTATGTCTACCTCTTTGTCCATACCCAAAATTATTATAAGTTATCACATTCATTTCAAGGAATGAAGTAGATTCGATTGGACATGATTCTCAATTTTTTATTAATAGCTCATTATTTTGTTTAGTCACAAGCAAGCATGAAATCAACTCAAAATATTTTTTAAAACTTTTTTCTCGATATTGCTATTATAGGAGCATATGAAAGGCATGAAAAATAGAGAATATTTTTAGCATCAAGTATCCATGATCAATAATTGTTACTCGAAACGTTAACGATCACAAAATTAAGTTTTATGAAGTTTGATATGATAAAAAATTTATAATGCAAAGTAATAATATATTAGCAATATATTAATGTTAGAAAACACAATAATAAAATTTAAATTGTCAAACAACATACATTAAATTATTATATTTTATATATTGAATCATTCAATTTTTTCAAATGCATACTCCTATTATTAGATTTAAAGTGAATAATAAATTACATATATAATTTTTAATGATCTAAATAATTTAGATCTTTTAGTAAAACACTCGTGTAGAAAAAAATCAATGATTGAAACAAATGATTGAGTTTTTTGATAAATACATACCTCATGGTCTATTATATTGGTTGGTTAGAGTTTTATACTCGATAACATGTTATAAAAAAATGATAATAATAATAGAATTGAAAAAAAAAAGATGATAGGAAAATGAATTCACTAGGAAATAAAAATGAATACAAAAGATAATCACTCCAAATATTTATTTTAACTTTTACAAAACATATCTACACAAATGAATAAATAATCAGATCTATTTATAAGCTTCAAAATATTAAAAGAGATTATAAGTCACTAAAAGGTGTATAAATAATTGTATCAATTACATCAATTTTTTTTAATTTTTAATATAAAATGATAAATTGAATTACTAAAATATAAATTGACTATCAACATTCGTTATTTTATAATAAATAATAATAATAATAATACGTATTTTCGATATCAAAACAGATGAACGGAAAACCCAAATTGCGTTTCTTTAAAGATTAAACCTTGTGATTTATCGTTTTTTCAGTCATCACACATCGTTGTAGCCGGATAGCCGAGAGAACAAAGCAAACCAAGCAAAAATGGCAATGATGCTTTCCTCCCAAACCGGAACAATCCTCCGCACCCCATTCCTCCCTTCCCACTCGAAACTCTCCAGCCGCCTTCCTCTCACCTCCGCCGCCGCCACACTTTCTCTCCCATCACAAAAGCCCTTATCTCTCGCCCTCAAAGCCCTTAAAACACGAGCCTCTCAGACTGTCACCACCAAACGACCTGCAGTTAGGGTTCGCCTCTCATCCCAATCCATACAAATCCCCGCAGAGTCACAATCCCAGCTCACTGGGTCAACTCGAACCCTCGCTACTATCCTAACCCTAGCTCTCTCTCTATCACGCATCTTCGTCAATTCAATTCAGAAATTCGTCCTTTCAATTTACTGTTTCCCCAACCCTGATCAACTCATGGCGATTCGTGCTCTACAAACCAACCTGGTTCACTCAGTAGGCCCGCTTTTCTTCGCGGCGCTTAAGGACCGTCCTACCGGGTATTTAAACACTCCATTGACGGTGGTTGCGGCAGGTTTGGCTAAATGGCTCGATATATACAGTGGGGTTTTGATGGTTAGGGTTTTGCTTAGTTGGTTCCCTAACATTCCATGGGACCGTCAGCCCTTATCAGCTATAAGGGACTTGTGTGATCCTTATTTGAACTTGTTTAGGAATATAATTCCTCCTATATTTGATACTCTTGATGTTAGCCCGCTTTTAGCGTTCGCGGTTCTGGGTACACTTGGGTCCATTCTTAATAGCAGCAGAGGAATGTATTGAAGAGGAATTGCAAGGCAATTTACTGAGTAAGAAATAGTTTTTAAAGTTGGCTTCTTTAATTTGGTTAATTAATTGTTTTGAGCTTTTGGAATTTGGGGTATTAGTTAGTGGGTTTAATACTGTAAAAGATGAATTTGTGTTCCATATATAAATTTTGTGAACGTTGCTGCCATGTTAGACTCTTCCTTCTTTAATATTGATGCTTTGTAGCTTGCTTTTTTGGTCCATTCATGAAGTTTGATCTCTGCTTATTCAAATAAAACTTGATGTTCAAGAGTGCTGTGAGTTTGCTTTGTAGAAGTTAAACTCTTAATGCTGTTCTCCAATGTTTCAATCCTGAGTTTGCATTCCTGCTCCTCGTGATGGGAAAAGAAGCGCAACTCATTTCAATGAAACAATGTCTTGCAAGTTTTTGCTTATTTGTTGGAAGGAAAGTTCAAGTGGGGAGTTTTGTGCTTTTATGTTGAAGCTCACCAGATTGTGTCTGCTACATCCCAAACCTCACACTAGCATCAAATGAGTGATCGAAATTTTACTTACGGATAAAATACTCGTGTTAAAAATAGCAGTTGTTTTGCGAATTCTTTGTGCCCTTTATCATAGATTACATGAATTTCCAAATAATGAACTACAGGTCCACAAAGAAATTATGTAGGTTCAAAGAAGAACGCATCGCACAAAAGCTGTAGTTTTTATGAGGGTGAAGTATGCCAAGTGGAATGTGCTTTCAAAATATAGGGTATCTGTATGTGCAGAGAAGGTGTACACATTAGTGTGAAGAGAGACTGATTAAGCAGGCTGTGATCCTTCTGTTTGCTTTGTTAGGGGAAGTGGTAGTGGGGAGTTTTGACTGACACTTTAGAAGCATTGGTTGAGACGTCTGAGAAGTTTCATAATGTTCGTTTGTGTTTCTGTTCGGCATTAAAATATGACTTTTTAATTTGATTGTTTTGATATGTTGGTTGAGGAATCTCTAGTTCTCTGCCTTTTATAGATGGTCTTCCATGTAGTTATGCAATAATTGCTTAGCTCTTGACTTCAAGATCACATTATATTCTTTTCTTGATACAACTTCAAGCAGATACATGTTATATCTGTTCTACCAAATGAGCAATTATGGCTCCGCTAGTGTTCCTGGTTGAGGTATCTCGGACAGAGCAAGTTTGTGGGCTGTGTGAGTGGAACTTGCATGGAGGTATTAAGAACTTACTAGTCTTAGAAATTGACTCATAATTGACGAGGCTCATAAAACAGCATGATAACTCCTTGCTGGGCATCATCGAGCATGTTCGGCCGCCTGAATAGGTTATTGGAGTTGGAAAGTGGAATTGTATCTTGCCCACAGAGAAGCTAATGTTAGTTAGGATAGACTGGCTAACTTTGGGGTTCAATTGGAGCATGGAATATTAAACTTACTCTTCCCTCACGAATTAATTTAGTTTTCAATTAGATTTTATCATTAAAAGTTTGATGACAATGAACTATTAAACGGAATTCTTCCATTCATTGTTTAATCCTTTATTATTGTTTTTTTTTATTTTTCCGACGATCAAAACCTCGTCGCTAAATTTAAAAAGCACCCCTCATACAAAGTGGTTGCATCAGCCTGGTTTGGACAGTAATTGGTGCTTTCCTGCAATATTTTGGAGGCAACTCGAGCAGTCTTTGCTGCCCTCATCACCCTTGCATTGTGCCAGGCAATACACTTTGTATTGTCCATCACCGAAGGAGGTAGCAACATCGGAGTTGTGGAGAGAGTCGTGAAAAAGTTGCAAGTTCTTAACAAACAGAAACAATTGCATCGACAGTAATAATATTAATTATTTCAATCGTCTAATTCTTGAGTGTATTCATTATTTTTTCATTACAAAAACATCCTTACGAGAAGATTTGTCCTTCTGGAAATTAGTTCCGCCAGTAAGTGATCAATATTTGGCTGAGATGGAGCTTTTTAACTATTGCCTTAATTTGTCTCTTTTTCCTCACTTCCTTGGGTGATTAAGAGTAGCAAGTAGTGCTTATTTTTCACTGGTATGGAGAACCAGAGACAGGTTACCTAGCCTTCAATTCCATTCTTCGTCTACTGAGTCAACAATATTCTTGCTCAACCCAACATGTATTTTATTTAGGGTCATGCGGGGCAATAAGAAGAAAGTTTCATGAGGGCAGCAAAAAGATAATGGGGAAATTTAACTTTTTACATTCAGTCTCAGTAGTATGATCCCAACAAGAGCTTTCAACCATATACAAGTTCATGTTCTTACAGGGTACCAGTGGTGCTAGCTGAAGTACCCACAAGTTTATCAAAATGCCCGCGGGGGGGGGGGGGGGGGGGGGGAGGGGAGGTTAAACCACAAAATTTCCCTTTGCTGAACTAGATGCTTTAGGCTTGTGTTGTACAATAAAGCTTTCATCTAGATCTCAGAGATGACAACCACAGGAAGTTAGCATGGAAGAGTGTCTATGTCTATATACAGGTTGCCTGTGATTTTTGAATTTCAAGGTGCCCAAATCCTATTTTTTGCCAAAGTATGAAAGGAGTGTTGGTTGTTTATCATCGCGACTCTTGAGATTGGCCTTCTTCTTTGCCGGACTTGACCTTAGTTTGATTATTTCATCTGTATCTAGCTTTGAATCAACTAACTCCTTGCGGTCCCGTTTTGTTTTGCACTTCGTTTCACCCTCATGTGAAAAAGTTTCTACACTTGATTTCACATCATAGTCCACTGGTTTAGTGAAGCATGGAGTTTCGAACTTCTCTTCGCTTTCATGCTCCTCTTTCACACTACTTGGCAGGTCCAACTTGACAGATTTGTCATGAGTACTTTCTTCCAGATTTGATTCTTCTTTAATTTCCTTTCGTGAGAAGAACTTTGAGATAGTATTCTTTTCTTCCGTCTTCAAATGTATCTGCAAGACATGCTCTAATATTATAATTGTCAATTGATTGAGTGGAAATAACAAATCAGGCATGTCTAACGAAGACAGCAAGGAAACATCCAACAGTATACCGCAGCTCATCACTAGCACCATCGTTTTATTTTTTCATTTTGGAGAGCCAAAATAACAAAAATTACATAATTTGGTAGAAAAGGCAAGAATTTCCACACCTCTTTAATGCACTCTGGTCCGTCAAAAGATGACTTACCCATGGCAGGTGTCACTGGGTACCATACCTGAAGATTAAAATTATTGTTAATGAATGATTAGGTGGCACCATTCCTCAACTAGCAGGTGGCATACACATCTTTTCTTAAGCAAAGAGAACTCTTTACCAAATCAGAATGTTCATAAGGTTTAAGCACCGTATCAAATTTGGAAGTGGAAGAAATATTTAGCCATGTATCAGTTGCTTCCCTGTCACCCAAAATAACAGGCATCCTGTCTGAAACACGAGTAAGAAACTTCAGTACCCGATAACTCCACTTCAGCATGGAATAGCACTAACTGAAATGCCAAATAATCAGACAGAACTAAATTGAACAGTTTTGACAACAACGTTAAGGAAATGATTTCTTCATCATAAGCAGTGCACAACCCAAGCATGACTTAGCTGCAAGATTCCAGTTCCATTTTTTCATTCACAATGTACAACTAATTTGTTGGATGATTTCCATATTCAGTTTTGCAACTTTTATCTTGATACATGAATTGTCTGAGAATTTATAGTCTGACCATTTCCCCTTGCTGCTTGAACTAGCCAATGAACATTTCTGGGGCATTTGTTGTAGTAAAGAAAGCTAATAAAACAGTCACAAAAGGGATCTGCAGCTTACTTCTCTGCCATGCTTATGAGTAGAATTACTACCGTAATAAATGTTTCCTAAGATCAAGAGACAGAAAAGTAAACTTGGGCAGACCATGCATGCCAATGTAATTCCCAGTTCAATGTTTTGAGCGCAGCAACTACTGGAATATACCTCTTTGTATGTTCTAATTGGTTCCAGACATGACTCTTAACTGATGCACAGGACTTTAGATTTCATAAATCATTTTGGAAGGCACAGGAAACTGAGATTTGGTACACTTTCTGTCATCATAACACTATAGAACCTGCCATGTAAAAGGTCTTCCTTGTTTATCTAATATGCATTAAATGGTAATATGAAGAAACAATAAGAAAGCATCCTCACATCTCACAGCGCTAAAACAGACAACATGCATTAACTAAGACAAGCACCACTCACCATGCAACCATTGTAAAGCTGAAGATGCAGCAGTAGTGGCTATAGTAAAGGTGTAAAGTATCTCACCTGCAGCAAAGCATACAGGCATGTGATCATCAGAAGCAGATTATCTCTAAGCAATGGTGCTATCAGGAAACTAATCATAGACTAAAAACATCTTCAAACAACTAAAAACATCTTCAAACAAATGCTAAGAACAGCATCGACAATATAAGCATCATACTTTATTCACTGAAAAGTTCAGCTTCAAGTTCCTAGATCTGATTGAAAGTTACCAATAGGATTGATAGACATTCTGGTTGAGGAGTTAATTCTTTCAACAAGTCATCTTACAATACATGATGTCTCAATACCTTCAGAGTTCTGCCATGAATCATAAAGAGCAGCAAACACGAGAGGCCGACCATCCTTGAAATGAATGTAGTAGGGCTGCTTTTTTGACCCATCTTTTTTCCACTCATAGAATCTGAAAACCATTTGAAGCATGCCACAGACCAGTCAATACAATAATAGATAACTAAGCTGAAACTTCTATTTCCAGGTGCGTGAGTGGACAAAGATGCAACACATATATGATTTGGTATTCAAATATGTGCAAAAGGTGTAAATTATGTTAGCACAACTCTTTTGTTAACAAAACCAAAGGTGTAAATTATGTTAGCGCAACTCTTTTGTTAACAAAACCAACCATAGCCTAGAAAGTTAGAGAACATAATTGTAAATGAACCAGAGTGTATCACCAGCATTCGCAAATGCCTATTTAAAGACTGAAGATCTGCTAAAGTGTATTTTGTACCTATTCGCAAATGCCTATTTGTGAATCAAAGTGTATTTTAAGTAAAATATAAAACTGTTGACTGATAACAAGTATCCACAAGAGAAAAGGCAACTTAATTCACAAATAAACCGAAAGGGTACAAAACATACCCTTCTACAGTGACAAGACACCGACTTTTAGGAAGTAAGCGACGAAACGAAGCCTTTTCTTTCACCGCTTCAGATCGAGCGTTGAACTGCATTTTGCCACCAACACAAATTAAAATATGCATATTTTCCAACCAAAAAATGGAAAAAAAATGTTTAATAAGAGTATGACTATTCTGATTGGAGCTAAAGTAGCAAGTTACAAAAAACAAGTAAAAGGGAATGCAATAGATTGGTCTACTACTCAAGTCTAACTGGCAGTTACCTTCGAAACTATTAGTATTATTGTTATGTAAATACTTAATTTAAAAACTTGCGGCAAAGTCTAGGTCTAAATAATAATTAAACACATACATACCATCCTGTAGAAATCTGGTTTCTCAGTTTTCTTAGTGAAACTAGGAATTAATCCCCACTGCATACAGTGGATAGCATAACCATCCCCACCGTTTTCTGGACGCACAACCGGCAAATTCGATCCCGGTGACACATTGTAGGATGGACGGTACCTAAAATCAAACTCAAAATTGCAATCAGGCCGCAACCAAACATTTCTAGAGAGAAAGAAAGAGAGAGAGATTACCGGTCCAAATTGACGGAGCGGACGGGGCCGTCAGTGCGGTAGCATGCCCTGGGGATGTCATCGGCTCTGAGAGTGCAACGCGCTCTGCCACACATCTTACCCTTTCTTTTCTGCGGTGTTTTTCTCAGTTCTCGTCGTCGATTCCAACTGTTCGCTCTCCTCTCTCCTAATAACTTCCCCTGATTTTGTTTTCTGGTGGAACAAGGGCGGGAACAGAATTTGTTTTTTTTTTTCCTTGTGCTGCGTGCGACGCTGTAGAGACCTGATGGAGTGAAGGAGTCTCGTCTCGTCCCGTGGGTGGGTCCGATTAGGCACGCGTGCGTGTGCCCTACCTAGAGATAAGATATACTAATCCTCTAGTTTATTATTTTTATCAAGAGAAAAAACATCGATACGCGCTTATATATTGAGTCATTTACCGATTATACCCTTCAAGTTAAAAAATAAATAAGATTCAGTCATATTTTTTTTATAAAAAATTAATTAATCGTAATTTTTAATTCGTTTATATTTTTCAATATATTTATTTGTCAAATATTTTTATAAAAATTTAATAATCACACACACAATACATAATAATTTCTGTACAGATTTACAAAAAATATAAAATTAATGTGCATTTCAATGTATAATCAAATTTATTCAAGTTTAAGTCTCTCAATCAACATTTTATTTACTCAAATCAATATTTTTATTAAATTATATTGAAATGCATTTGATCATCAATTTTAATAAATTTAATTCGACAAAAACTACATCATATGATACAAACAAACTAAATATTATAAATTAATTGATAATTTTATTGTAATACACAGGGCATACTGATATGTTTTCCTAGCACTAACACTTACAAAACAACTAGAACTGAAAGATAAAATATTTTTAGATTTCAATATGCATCTAGATACAATACACAATTTATTCATTGTTTGTTTAAAATTATGTTTAAAAACATAACTTTAAATTTTTTTAATAAAAAATATAAATAAATTATTTAAAAACATAAAAAAATATTTATAATTAAAATCAAAAGTCAAGAATAACATAAGTAAAAAAAACAGAAATCAAGACATCATATAATATTTTTTAATCATTAGTATAAAAACTATACATTAAAATAAAATGTGCAACGTTGGTACTTTTATGACTCAAAAAGTATCATTGCTCTGTTTTTTGAAATAAAAATTAATTTACATTTAAATTTGCTTATATAAAAATCATTTTTACCCTTAAAAGCTTATGGGGATTTTAAAAATTTTTACCAAATATTTTTTTGGGACTTTCTATTGATTTGGTTTGAAACAAAGTAGTAAAGCTAGAAATACATGTGTGGAATCGGGTCAATGTTCATAATCGGTCTACCCGTTTTTTCTGCTCAAAACGAGTCCCGGTTTAGTGACTCACTTCACTTGAACTTCTCTCCAAATTCCCAACCCAAGCTACTTTGCATCACTTGCCTCATGTCTTCCCTCGTTAAACGACTCCAGAGCCTATCCCCATGCCTGCAGTCCACCGCCCACCAGCTCCGCTACGTGAGAACCCAGGCCGGTCACAGGCGGCGATCTAAGTCCTCTGCCTTTGGAGCGAAGAAGATTGATGAGAAATCGGATTGGTGGATTGTCGATGGCGAGATGCACGAGATAGGAGATCACGTGCCTCCACGTGAGCGATTCGCTATCCCTAGAGACAACGTCCCTAACAAGCGCCGAAAGCAACTTCGCGAGCAGTTCATGCGCCGCACTCGTCTTGTTATCAAGGAAGCGGTAAGTGCTCATTTCTCTCCGCAACTTCGGTTTTCTCCATTTCTGTTTTTTACAATTTTTTTTAAAAAAAATTATTTGCTTTATATCTTAAAAGCTTAGGCAGGCAGTATTTTACTAGTTCTCTAATTAATTGAGCAGTACGTGAATTCAAACTTGTATTCTAGTGATTGAAGATTTCTTGGTTGGGTTGTTTTGTACTCAAAAGGAGCATGAACCTTGGTGCAAAAGATACATGGAACTGTATCAGGAGATGAGAGAGAATTGGGAACGGCTATACTGGGACGAGGGCTATTCGAAGAAAATTGCCCGAGATCATGCAAACTATGAGTCTGCTGAGGATGATGATCAAGATTTTAACCCATACAGGTATGCCAATGCCAGTTTCTTCCCTCATTTCATACCATATTGCTTCAGGTACTACTGTTTTGATTTTACCCATTATGGTCGTTTATGGGCGATGCAGCAAAAAAGAAAAGGCTTCACTTAGTTTATTTTGAAAGTCTTCGTTTATTGGCGATGAATATAAATTGCTATTAAGGTTTTAGTCCTTGTATTCTGTTTTTCTATCACTTGTGTATCGTTTATGTCAATTCATTTCTTGTTTTATTGATGTATAGTTAAAGCTGATTCATTTGTTATAAGTTGAGATTTTCAGTAGAGATGAATAATCAGTCAATTTTTTGCTTGTTTGCAACAGGAGCAAGGTACCTGAACAGATGAAGGTATGAAGGCATTGATAACTTTTATCGTAGTATTTGAAATGGCAATGGCCAGGATTAAGTGATCTCATTCATGATGTAGATATGGGGCTCTTAGCCCAGCTTTTTACACCCCTCTCCCTAATTAAAAAAAAAAAAAAGACATTAAACATCAAGTATCAACTTGCATACATATGTTTTTATAGTTTAGGTCAGTTTGTCCTTGGTCACAGAGTAAGTTGAAATGGCAATGGCCAGGATTAAGTGATCTCATTCATGATGTAGATATGGGGCTCTTAGCCCAGCTTTTTACACCCCTCTCCCTAATTAAAAAAAAAAAAAGACATTAAACATCAAGTATCAACTTGCATACATATGTTTTTATAGTTTAGGTCAGTTTGTCCTTGGTCACAGAGTACGTTGAATTGATTCAATATTGTATTATAGAAATTTCTGAAAGTTCTTTGTTTTGGTCATTTCTTTTCTTTCCCCAATAGTTGGAAACATGCGCATGCATAGATGTTTATCTTTTGCAATGATCAGGATGGTGCGGAATGCAGGAGGTCTAGCTTAGTGATATTATTTGTTATTCAGTCTAAAATGATATAAGATAATTCAAACAGTTTGATCTCCTTTCATTTTAATTGTAAACAGCTATGTTGTTGTCACGTGTATATGACTGGATCTTGAATGCAGGACCAGGGTTTTGGGAGAAATAGGCAAGGTGATGCATGGGAAAAGGTTAGCCAAATTCGAGATGTATTTGAGTATGACAGAGAGAAGAGGATGAGGGAGAAAGGTATGTTAAACACATACAATTTACTCAATGTATGTTCACTTAGATTTCTTGCGTTAAATTGGTCAACTGGTCATTGCTTGTAAGTACAAGTAGCTGATGTGCTCAATAATAACTTCAACTTGATTTCTTTTATCTGGTTGTTTGTCTGTTAGGCAGTCCATGATTATATCTTTGTGTTTAGAATGCTCATTATAAATTGCAGAGCTGGAGCTTGAGCTTGAGCATCCATATACAAATTTTGCTTTTCTTGTCCAAAGCATTCTATAAAGAAGAGGACATTTCATCGCAAAGTATCATCTTATTTACTTGGTGATCTGTTGTGTAATAGTGTTTATATACAGTTGCACCCAATGCCACATTTTGCTTTTTAGGGCTTGCGTCTGATGCTTTATATCACTTATTACTGAAAGAAACTCTTTAGATATGTGTGGCATTCATCAAGGTACTAAATGATATGTTTCTCTTTTCACAAATTCTTTATCTTATTTATTAGTCAAAATCAGATCTCATGTTTTATATGAAAAGGCTTGTTGTGATTCTGAGTGGACAAACAGTTTAATATAATCTTGAAAGTGAAAAAACATCAAAGAAAATCATTGTAGCCACATTATATGAAGCAAATGCTTTTGTCAAAACTGATAGTCAGAGGACAGGTGGCATGAAACATAGTGTCTAGTACAAAAGAGACCAAAATCTTGTAGAGCTGAACTATTACTGTATTTTGGTTCTCAATTTTCTCTCTTTGCATTCTAGTACTGTAAAGAACTCTTTGGAAACAGGATTTATTCCTGTTTTAGTTGTGGTTTTGATCTATGAAATCCTTCCATTCATAATAATAATAATAATAAATAAATAAATAGATATTGTAGAGGTGGATTGTGTGTGAATTTTCCTATTCAACCACCCCAAGGACAGGTTTTTGATGGAGCTTTTGATTTTATAGCTTTCTCCAGTAATGTTTCAGTTTTGGTTATTGATGGCTGCCACTTGAGGACCTAGCTGATTGAGAATCAAATAATATGTTTGAATCTCACATAAATGCAGTTCTCATGTATTTTAATTGCAGCATTTGCACCAATGAATGGAGGAACGTCTTTTGACTTGCCTCATTCAAACTCTCGGAATCAGCCATTTGACACTCGAAGATACTTCCCAGATGAAAGCAGAGAGGGACTTCAAAAATGATAGTGAATGATGATGCAAAGAAAACATTAATGCACTACTACTGTCAAGTTCCCTAAAGTTAACCATGGGGTTCTCATAATGGAGATATGCAGGAAGAGCGTTTAAGGGTTTCTGGTCTTGAAATTTATGCTATACACCGATTGACCATTGTCTACCACACCAGGAAGCAAGGGGTTTCTGATAACCCAATGATTGTGCTTCCCTTTTAACCAAGCTGTCAGTTTTGTGAATGATGTAGCTTATGATATCCCTTTCAAGAATGAAATTACCTGTAACCTTAGTTTATCTGGATCCTTAATTGCAAGCAAGTTGAACTAGAGGCATAAAGTTTTCTACGATACATTTTTTTGCAGAATATGTTCTCTCTTAGGTGCTCCTGTAAAACTTTTTGTTCATCCCTTCACCTTTTAGTTTCCAGACCAGCAACTGCTTTCTTCTGTCAGGAGTCAGGATTCCAATGGTTATGCATCCATTGTCGGGAAAATAACTGTCATTTGGAGAATATTGAATGATTTTTCACTTGAGTCCTGAACTTTTCCTTCTCCTTTTTGTTTTTTCTTTTCCCTTGGGTGAATGGAGAGGCCATGTTGATTCTCAACTTTCTCGTGGCCTTTCTATTCTTTTATTTATTTATCACGTTTTTTTACTTTTTAAATTTTCTTAAGGGGGGCTTGTTTGATGGCTTTTTAGTCAATTTAACGTATTACGACTTGTGGATAAATTATAAAACAAAAACATTATCACTCTGGTTAATTGTTTTCTATATTTAATTATATAGACTATAAAAAATTTCAAATTATAAATTGGTCATCTTCAATTTTTGTATTTCCTTTTAAAATTTCAAATTCAAAATTAGAAGGGTTTTTGTTTGTACACCCACCAGCTACGGTAAACACAAACGAACAAGAGAGTTTTTCAGTTTACCAGTGTTATTAGAGTAAATTTTAAATTAGGCTATTTAGTTTCAAAAATGAGTTAATTAGTCCCTTATGTCTTAGAAAATAATTATTTAGTTGTTTTTGTCAATTTTTTATTCTTTTTTAATGTATTTTGTTGTTCAACATATATATAAAAGATTAAATAATTAATTTTTGAACAAAAATTTACTAATTAGCTTCTCAAAACTATAGGGACTAATGTATAATTTACGCAGTATTATTATTAGAAAGGAAAAAAAAAAAAAACGAAACAAAAAGTAGAAGTGGTCACAGGTTTCAATCAGGCCGGCGCCAAAACTCCAGGTCTTGCAAGAACAAATGCACACTGAATTGAAGCAGAAGAAGAAGAGGAAGAAGATCTGATAAAGTAAAAAATGAGCGGAAGTCGATTATGCGCATTGCTTGGAGAATTGGGGTATGGAGGGGCAGATGCACTAGACCCAGACAGCTTTGAGTGGCCTTTCCAATACGAAGACGCACGCCCTATCCTCGACTGGATCTGCTCCAGTCTCCGCCCTTCCAACGTCCTCTCCCTTTCCGACCTCTCCCAGTTACTTCTCACTCTCCTTTTCCATTTCTTCTCAATTTTTATTTTATTATTATCGTTTATGAGATCTGCTGACACAGGGCTCTATCTATCTTCTATTCCCCAGGTATGAGCAGTTTATGCAAGAAGAGAAGCTTTTGGAAGTATAATTTCCATGCCTCTTCTCCTTCTTCTCCATTTCATCCACTCACACTTTTGATTCTTCATAATTTGTTTTTTTTTTTTTTTTTTGTCTTTTAATGATTTATGTAATTAAAATGGAATTTGGCTCTTGAATGTGATGAGTGACTCAACAGGGTGAAGACTTGGAGTTTGCTTACGATAGCATTTCAGCATTTTCTTCAAGGAGAGAAAATCAGGAGGAAGTTTTTGGAGCTGAAGAACCTTTAAAAGATATAAGGCAATGTCTCAGTTTTATCATTTTGTTTGTTTTTCTATTCTACCCTTAATTATTTATGGATTTCTTTTCGTTTTAGGGATGCAACTTCGGCGTATAAAACTGAAGCTTTGGAGTTGCAGAAACAGCTTAGGCATTTGCAGTCACAATTTGATTTGCTCTCTACCCAGGCTTCCACTTTGATTCAAGGGAGACGGGCTCGAGTTGCTGCAACATCTACTGTGAATGGATACCTTGCAGCAATTGATGATACTCTTTCAGGACGAAACTTGCGGGTATATAAGCAAAAATTGCGCATAATTTCATTAACACCCAGATAATTGGAATACTCTCTTTAGCTCTTGATTAAACTGGGTTGCTTTCAGTGTTTCTTGCTTCTTTGCATGGATTTTCTGTTAGACATAACTGTTGTTGTAATTTGTTGCTTAACCTTTCATTATAATATAGATGAATGAAGTTCTTGGAAGGATTGCATCTACAGCGCAAGAGTTGGCTCATTATCATTCTGGCGATGGTAGTGTTTTCGTTTCTGTTTATAACTTGTTCTTATATTGGTCATTTGAAATTTTAGAATCAAGATCGTTTTTGGAGGGAGAGTAAGATGAAACACAAAAATGGAAGCTGTCTTAACCAGACTTTTGACAACCAATTTACCTTCAATTTTTCTCTTGATTACTTTTATCATTATTTTTCTTGCAGAGGGTGGCATCTACTTAGCTTACTCTGATTTTCATCAGTACTGGCTTCAAGATTCATCTTGCATGAAGGAAATAAATCAGTGGTTCTCCAAGCAACTGGACACAGTATGTGGATGTCAAACTGTCTCTCTTTTATATCATTGAATTTGAAGCTGTTTTGCATGCCTGTTAGGACCTAAAGTTGCAGAAGTTTAATTTAGGATATCCAGAAACAGTGGAGTGGTATAGAGGATGTTTCTATTGACTGAACTATGACTCTCCTTTTTGCATGTCTTCTATTTCACTGTTTTGCTGTTTCTTCAAAGTATTTGTCTATAGATGCCATGTACTTCTGTAACTCGACAAATACCAAGGCTAGATCCTGACTCCACGTGCTAGACTATGTGTATCTGCCTGCCAATTCTGTCTAAAAGTACAAGTTGTCATGTATTCTGTTCTGAACAATTTCTCAACAGTAGGATAAATAATCGATCACTCTCTGTTTCAAACAATGGTCTTTTTTTCTAGGTTTCATGATCTTAATGTGTTATAAAAATCAGGGACCTTTTCGACTAGTTGCTGAGGAGGGCAAATCTAAATGTTCGTGGGTGAGTCTTGATGACGTCTCAAATATTTTAGTACGAGGTATCCTTGCCTTTTGCTTCTGCAATTTAAGTTCAGGATGCATCCTTTTCTTCCTTTTTGCCTTTACCTCCCTTGTATAAGTACCTCCATGGCTCCATGACTAATATGATGTAGAAATATGGCTACTATAGTGACATGAATGTGTTAGGATTTAATGCATTTATGTTGATACTCACATGTCACCAACATATTCTTGATATGGACTTGCATGGGCATTTACATATACCATTTATTATCCTGCTAAAATACACTGTTACTTCTTGTTGGATGAAGCAGATTTAGAACAATCCCATCACCAGCGTGTTTCAGAATTGCAGCGGCTTCGTTCTATGTATGTTGTTTATCTTACCTTTCCTGCAATTGCTCATTTTTCCCAAATGGCTCAGTGCTTATTCTATAATTACTTTTTCTTGCTTCATGTTAACTGTTGCTATACCAATTAAAAGCTTTCTACAAGTGATGGTTGTTTTAATCTCATGTAGTATAGTTTTTAAACTCTTAGTCAAGGAAACACAAGTTTTAAATGGTGTGAATTGTTTTCGGGAATGAAACTAAGAGTAGAATGGTCCTTGTGATAGTTAAAGTGATTGACTTGCATCAAGAATTCACAAATCAGTTACTTCAATGATGTCCACAGATTATCTGAGATTGGTGGTTAAGCAATTTATCGTATCAAGCATTCATGTTGCTGTTCTACGACTTTGAATTTTTTATATATCCTCCTCCTTCTCCTACCTGATCTCTACTATGCACACAAATGCATGAAAACCTGATCTTGGGTTGGCATGTTTTTTTTTTTTTAATCATTTCAATGCTTTTTACATTTTTTATCAGGTTTCTTTGTTGTGTCTGAGAATATTAGGGCACTGGGGAGAGGCTGGGTGATTTTTCTTTTCCTAGGTGCTTGGTGGTGATATTTTTTGGCACTGTTTGATTAAGTCTGATGGTTGATAAATTGTTAATTAAATCGACAGATTTGGTACAAGTGAAAGGCAATGGGTTGAAGCCCAGGTTGAGAATGCTAAGCAGCAAGCTATTCTGATGGCACTTAAATCTCAAGTAACATCAGATGAAGCACACATACATCTTGATCTTCATTCTCTCAGGTAGAAATTTCATGTTTTACATTCCTTTTCAGTCTGGTTTTTAACCTCTATTTTTATGGCTTCTGATCGAGCATAAGGTGATGCACAGTGAGATTTTTTTCTTTTTGTCAAAAAAAAAAAAAATGTTGATATGCATGTAAAATATGGAGAATGGTAGAATGATTTTGTGTCTTCTTATCAAAATGGATTATAGATGATCCTTAATGGGATTATGCTCTGTAGTAGACACTTTTGCCACTAACATTGTAGGGAAGGCTTTGCATTATGAAAATGGTTTTATAACCTGGCACAGTCTCTCAAATATGTGGAAAGTAGCTTTCATTATGACATTAATTTTTGAGGATAAAATAGTAATTATGAGCCCATTTAACTTGCATTTAGAGTAGTTAAGAAGACTTCATCCATCATAAATGTCTCCCTTGGAATCTCTATACTTCAATGAATCCTCTGTTTCTCTTCTTAAAACTACCCTCCTCCTAAAGAAAATAATTACTCTCATTGCACACAAGCCTGATGTCATGTCTTGTCATCCAACATCCTGTGAAAGTAGTGGCGATAGTTAACAATAATGCTTAGGGTGAATCACAATAACCCACCCTGAGGCATCACAAATTTTATAGATGCCACCCAAAAGTTTGAAAGTTTGGACTGAAGACACCACCATGTTTAATAAAATACTACAGAAACCTCCTTTTATACCCAAAATCCTGAGTTTTTGTCAAACCTTCAAAGTTTTGCACAGTGCCTGTGCTTTCACCATCCCTCAGGGAGGTTATTGTAATCTACCCTAATACTAAGCTTTGATATATCCGAGTTTTGCTTTTGTGCTTTTTGTGAAAATCTTGCAACATGTTTTTTGTTTTGGCTATTTCATGTGACATCTTGTATTATCATGAATGACCAGGAGAAAGCATGTTGAATTGGTGGAAGAGCTTTCAAATCTTCATCACAAAGAAGGGAAGTTATTATCTGAGGTTTGTATGTTTGTATTTCCTAATTTTATATATTTTTTTATTCTGTCAGTTGTCATGGAGCATTTAGAGATATCTTAAGCTAGTATTCAGCAACATTTGAGAGCCCACATGCTTTCGTTGTGACATCTGGTACTTGTATTTTGCCAATGGAGGATGGCCCACTCTCCTTTTGTCATCTTCTATTTCTTTTGTTTTAATATAATCTTTCCTTTCCTGAAAAAAATGAGAGGAAAACCTTAAGGTTTCCCTTTGGGAGTATGGAGGCAAACCTTACGGTTTATTATTGCAGTTTGTGTGGCCACTGTTAGATGATACTGATAGATCTAGGGGAATGTTGATGTTAGCACTGGTAATTGTGTAGATATTAATTCAATCTGTGAGAACAGTGGTTTCTTGGACAAAAAACTAAACCATAAATCTGTGGGAACAGTGGTTGCATGGGTAGCTGCAGCAGAAGAAAAATAGAATGATGGAATGGTGATCATGAGAACGTGTATTAGTTTCTGCTGTTTTATCCATCTATATTCTCACTCATCCACCCACTCACTTATCACAGCTGGGTTTCTCTTAGAGGTTACTATATGCATACTTTTTTCTCTCTAATGATTCAGCATCAACTTTCCAGACCATTCCAGATCTTTGTTGGGAGTTGGCTCAACTCCAAGACACATACATTTTGCAAGGTATTATTGAGCTATAGCTTTCCTGTTCCAGAAAAAGGTTGTACATGTTTGAAATTTATGATTCTGATTGCTTTTGCTGTAAAGTTAATCAGTTTAAATTTATGCATTTGCAGGTGACTATGATTTAAAGGTCATGCGCCAAGAATACTATATTAATCGACAGAAGACGGTATTATTTTCAATTTTATAAGTTTATCACTTTGCATCCTTCTTGTAAGTTAATTGTCTTCTGGACAAAGAGTTCTCAAATCAGTTAGTTCATCTGAACACAAGCTCTTGATTGCAATCATGTCATAGGTCCTTCCCTACAGCCTCCATTTCCAATATTTGTTTTTGTTGCTGGCTTGTTTTGATAATAAAACCTAACAGAAGCTATCAAATAGTCAATTTGCACAATTTGATGTCCTGTTCAGGTTAGGGTTTTGTGACAACTGCTGCAATATTTGTGTTTTAAAACTGATTGTGGATGTTGCCAACCACTACTTCTGCATTACTATGATGATGTTAGATAATCCATGCTTTGAATAGAGCTGAATGTGGTTGTCACAAAACCATCCATCTCATCCAATTTTCATATAAACCAATTGAATAAATTGTTGCAACATTAAAGAAAAAATTCTACACTTTACATATGCATGTATTTTGTATTTTTACGAGTTATTCACAATCTTAATTTCTTGTTGCAGTTCATAAATCATTTAATAAATCAACTAGCAAGGCATCAGTTCTTAAAAATAGCTTGTCAGTTGGAAAAGAAGAACATGCTTGGAGCATATTCGTTAGTTAAAGTCATTGAGTCAGAGCTTCAAGGATACCTTTCAGCAACTAAGGGCAGAGTGGTATTGCATACTTCTTAAGCCTTTTGTTTTAATTTCTCCCATTTTTCATGAGATTGTCACGTCTATCAAATGTGCCAGCCACCTGGAAATTTTTTATCTAGAGTTTGTTCTGTATTTTATCTGTCATTTTAACCAAATCAGGAATTGGGATGAAATCATATATAGTATACTACGTTCAGATGAATTTTGTCGATAACTTTTTGTCAACATGATAGGGTCGTTGCCTGGCACTGACTCAAGCTGCATCTGATATACAAGAACAAGGAGCAGTGGATGATCGGGATACTCTTCTGCATGGTGTTAGGGACCTTCTAAGTATCCATTCAAGTAATGACTGTATTCCCTTTTCCCCTCATAGTTAGGTTATTGTAAAATTTATTGACTCGCTGTTGGAGGTGTACTGGTTATGGATTTTAATTCTTTCTTCTGTCATTTCCTTCAGATGCTCAAGCTGGATTATCAACATATGTATCAGCCCCTGGCATTGTACAGCAGGTTTCTGCTCTTCATACTGATTTGATGACACTTCAGTCTGATCTTGAGAATTCCCTTCCAGAAGACAGAAATAGATGCATCAACGAGCTGTGAGTAATTCCTTTTCAACTAACCATGCCACTACTACTTTGAAAGTACCAAGTTTTCTTTATTTCCTCTCTTTGCCCAATGATATGATTTGAACATGATAACTTCTGCAGTTGGCATTATTACTGTTGCATTCCTATATGACTTCCCTATTTACATGACTGGACGTTGATCTGATACATGATAATGATGATGCGTAGAAGACAATCAAGGATTTGAGTGTTCTTTGTCCAGGAGTTTCTTATATTGAGGAATTTATATCTACTGCAAACGCCACTATGTCTTCTTGATAGATCATTTTCTTTGGGAGGATCTATTGTTTCTTTGAAAGATTACTTTTTATGGACAATTTTTCCTTTGGTTTTGTTAATATTGAAGTCTCAGTTAAATGCATGGGTGAATGTATCACCTTATCAAAACACACATACACACAGCAGGAAAATAAAGAGACTATGCTTCTATCAAACACTTCATGTTTGACGCTAACATCCCGAATTGCTCTCTGTTCCTTTTCTTTCATAATCAAGAAACCAAAGGAATAAATCATTTCACAGACTGGCTTTTAGTGGAATTTGTAGTTGGCAATATGGGAAATTGTTCATAAGAATAGACTGGTTTTCAGAGTGTTTGGGAGGGAACAAATATCTGATACCATACTAAATCTTGATGTTTATACAATTTGTTTGGACTGGATATTGAGGATTTTTCTTACAGGCCTGCTTAGTAAAACTTGTAAGCCCATTTTCTGTTTATTTGTTTCAGGTGTACACTTATTCAAAGTTTGCAGCAATTGTTGTTTGCATCTTCAACAACAGCACAGCCAATACTGACACCTCGGGTATGATCGCACAGTCATTCTTTCATCTTATGCTTAATTGGTTGAATGGTCTCTTGGCACTTTTTTTTTTTCCTTCCATGCTCTTCTTGGTTTATGCTCTTATTACATAAAATATTTGAATTATATTTATGGTTCAGTGATTGATTTAAAATATCAAAACTTGCAGTATCACTACTGATTGACTTCTGAATGAGACTACAAATGAAATTGTAAATCTCAAACATTGATGCCCTTGCTGGATGTTTCCACAATTTCTTCTTTGAAGCAACATAATTACCTGATCTTTGTTTGAAAACCTAAATTCTTATCAAACTTTCCATTTGCCTTTACCGTGCTTATTAAACCATCCATTCTTGGAAAGAGGTTGTCTTTGTAGAGAGGTTACTGTCATTTTGGACTTTCCAAGGGACATGGAGTGTTATGGTGGCTTTAAGGATATTAGATGTAAGGACTGATTGGAGTAGTTAATCTACCATCGTCTCTACTATAGTTCTTGAATTCTCCCAATGCATCAGTATTCATGATGCATTTAGTTTCTGAGTTTTTTTTTCTGCTGCACTGTCAGAATATGTTGAAGTGCTCATTATGTTGATTCTCGTGTTCTAACTTAACATGTTTGCTCCTGGGACATCTTTTTGCCTTTTTTAGACATTAATGAAGGAACTAGATGAAATGGAAAAGATCAACGCAAAACTCTCTGTGGCAGTTGAAGAGGTGACCCTTGAACACTGCAAGAAAAATGAGGTAATCTTACTTTGATATATTATGAAAAATCATCCCATGGGTTAATTCCTACTCATTATTGAATCATCACTTCCCAGTATATTAAAACCATGAGTAACTGCACTATCAGAATTTTGAAACATAATGCATTTCCTTACCAGGATTAGTCTAAAGTAAATTAACTTGCAAGTGGGGGAGGGGATAATTAGGGCAGCCTTCGGTTCACGTCTTTAAAAATGATAACAATAACTAAGGGGACTTTCTTCATGTTAAAAATAGAAAAGAAATCATGACTTGGGTTTTACACTAACATGTTTGTTTTGCACATATAAAATAATGCCCTTCTGTAGAACAAGTGCAATTGCCTTCATCAAAAACAAGTTGTATAGTGAATTTGTAAAGAAATTGCCTCTCGCCGACATAAAAAAATTCTCCTGCGTCCATGCCAGCACCAGACAACAAGAAATTCCCCTTCCTCCATACACATGCACAAAACACACCTTTTAAGCCATGCATCTGAATATTTACTTTAGTTATGTTCCATGATGTGAAGTGTCGATTTCTATCAATTCATGTATTCTTTTACTGAATTGATTTCTGAAATTCTCTTCTACAATCCCTTGTCTTGCAGATTGTAAAACATCATTCACAAGAGGTCGGGCTTCAAAGGCGTGTTTTTGTTGATTTCTTCTGCAATCCTGAACGTCTGAGAAGCCAAGTTAGAGAATTGACGGCTCGAGTCAGAGCCTTGCAAGTTTCTTGATCCACTTGTTCATTCTAGTTCATAGGTCTATTCTTTTCGGACCTCCTCCAAAAACTACTAGCTGTATTGTTTCTTGTATCTAGGGTTATGTCCATGCTGTTATCGTAAGAGTATCACGAGTCTAATACCAGCTTCTGTTGCTCCTGATATCGTAGCTTTACATTGGATTAGGAACGGAGTGTCAACTTGTCGACACTGATGTTAACCATCACTAAGCTTTTCAGATTGTAACACCAATGAAATCGCCATTTATTTGTAGATGCCATTGGCGGTAGCGTAAGAAAAACATGTGTAAATGCCGCGGCTGTGTTATTCAAAAAAAGTACATGGGATGAAAAAATCTTGCGAGTCCTTTGATAATGTATCAAATTCAAAAAAAGTACGTGTAGGTGCCATTGGTCATTAATTGTTTATGTCATATTAGCTTTTTATATGTATATATCTTTGCTTAAAGTACTCCTTTTAATAGAATTATAAGTCATCAAAACAGATTTTAATGAGTAGTTTAATACACTACCTAAAATTTGGTTAAGTACTATCTTTTAGACCAGTTATAAATAGAAAGATAATTTTTTTGGGGATGATAGGAGCATGACAACGAATAATTTTTTTTGTGACTATGACATTGCAACAAAAAGAAAACAAAACAAAACTGTGCATGACAAGTAACTCGAGTCAGAAAAGAAAGGAAAAGGTTCATTTACAACTTGGGTGGAGACCAAAGACTTGATTAGAATTGGTAGAAACATTATTAACAGCTAAAAGCAGCAGCCCTGCCAAACCTCGATAACTGAGGTTTGTTGTAGGATAACTTGCGATGCACGGTCATCTTCACGAACTCAAGACTTTCACTACTTCCATCCTTGTCACCGTGGTTTTCCTCTGACTTTTGCTCCGTAGTTCGATGGAGATGGCATCTGAATGAGCCAGCATGGCTAGTTGGTGCACAAATGCATGTCTTTTTGGAGGCCACATTTGGTTTGTTTTCAGTCACTTCCATATTTTCGTTATTCTTCTTGAGAAATCGAGTAAGCGAACCTTTGCATTTACTAGCCCTACTAATGAACACCAAATAAGTAAATCATCACAAATTGAAATAAAACCAAATTACTTACCATACAAAAACTAATCATTAAAGAGCACAAGTCGATCAAGAAACCAATAAGCCTCTGTGTTGCAATTTGCAGAATAATTACTTATTGGTACTGTTATTCCCCAAACCCCACCCCCCCCCCCCCCCCCCCCCAAATTAGACCACACCCATTAATCATTATAGATCTTGTTAAAGTTACAAATAATGTCCATGGACAATCCTTAATTTAAAATTATGGTGCCTTAGAAAAGGCAAAATATATATAGATGGTAGGATAACAAATTATGCCATGCGGGATAGAAGCAGGGCATCTTGCCAATAACCAGTAATTTCTTGATTTAATTTTGACGGCTAAGTAAAAATTCAAAATAATCAACAAAAAATAATAATAATAATAACACTTGGAGTAGTAGTAGTAGACTAGTAGTTTTTAGTTTTTTTTTTTTTTCCCTGGCTTTTCAAGAATTATACTCCGTTACTGTCAAAGCAAGAACCAATTAAAGAATTAATCTAACGCACGCAGGTACGTACCACAATGTCGTTGGCGGTGTTGGGTCAGAATCTATGGAACTGCGACAACCAGCAGCGGCGGCGGCAGCTACGATTACTGTCATTGCACTGAGACTGGTAATTATCAAGTAAAAATTATACCCAGGGAAAGATCAAGAACCAGAATTAACCCGATCGATCTTGGAGAGGCACACAAAGTATATATTTCTCCAGAGAAAGAAGAAAAAGAAGAAAAAGAGAGAATGTGTATCCACGCAAGAATCGCTAAAAAAAAATCAGAGATTTGTAATGCTAATAGCGAAATAAAACATGATACATAGAATTTTCTGTGTCAACAGTACACAATATATAAGGAACAGTGTCGGCGTACGTGGAGAGGCGGTTTGATTTAATTTCCTGATTGTGTATGGATTGACCCTTGTTAGTTTTTTCCGTTGCATTTGAATGGTTTTGATTTTGAGTTATTAATATTAAGATTAAAGTAAAAGTAAGGATTTATTTTTTAATGGTAGTTTTGTCACTTCGGCCCAATTGGAGAAGAGATGGAAAATAACGAACGCAATACACCCTCATGCATGCAAGGCATGGAAACGTAACACACTTGTACAAGCTAATCTAACAGGCCAATTTTGGTCCTGTTGCTGGGTTTTGTTGTATTAGCAAAACATTATTTTCTAATGAGTGCTGGGTTTTTAAAAACTGTATTTTGTTTTAAAAAATATTATAGCACCATAAGGAATTACTTTTGTTTTTTAAAAAAAAGAAAAAAAAAACAAGAGTTGCTCTATTTGATTCAAAAGTAAATACAGTTTTTGTTTTTGTTTTGTTTTTTTTTTTTTTAGTTTATTTTGCTTTATTATGATTATTATATTGTATTGTGTTATGTTTTGACGTTAGTATTGTATCACATTATAAGATTAAATACATTAAATTATTTAGTGATAAATTATTGTATTGTACGATAAGTAAAATTATTTAATTATTTGGTAACTAATTACTATAGTTGAAGGTGGGAAGAAAAATTTAGTATGAACGGCAAAAATTTTAATAAGGTTCTAACAAAAAGTTGGATAAATAAAACCATTTATGCAATAACTAAAGTTTTTAATAAAAAAATACAAAAAAAATCATCAAAGACAAACATAAGGAATATTAATGCTGACTATACATAGAAGCTATAATCATAAGTATTAAAACACACAAAAAATCCTTACTAAGTTCTCCTTTTTGCTATTCTTTTTGTTATTTTTCAATCTGAAAGTGTTGAATTATACTTCTTATCCTTTTATTACAGAACAATCTCAAAAGTTTCAAAAATAGTATAAATATTTATCTTAATTTGAAATAGTTGACACGTTTTGCAATTTCAAATATTGTCATCTTCCAGATATTTGTGAGGCTACTAGTTGGGGTAAATGGTTGCAGGGTTTTTTCATTTTTTATTTTTCGTTTTGATCATATTCTTCTATTTTTATTTTTTATTTTAAATTTGTTTCTTCATATTTAATTTCTGTTTTAATCTTGTCTCTTCATTAACTTTCTGTTTCTACTCTTCTTCTTTTTTCATCTTAACCTCATCCCTTCACTCTTTTATTTTTTTTCGTATTAATCTTAGATATCCGTTAATTTTCTCTAGAAAAAAATAAAGATAAAAATATTTTTTATAGGTTTAAATTTATCTTTATAATAATAAACAAATTTTAATATAAAATAAAATATTTTAGTTCTTTTTTTAACGTAAAAAGAGTTTTAAGTAAATTATTGAATTTTTGAAAGATGATTTTAATGTTAGAATACCTTGAAAAAATATATCCTAACTTATTTTAATTAAAAAATAATAATTTGACTCAACAGTGAGAGTGATTTTTACCAATCTTTTAATTTGAAAAATTGTAAATCGTATCTTTTTACTGGAATCTTAGTTGAGGGGGAAAAACCCAAAATTTATAATTGAATTTATATTCTCCAAAAAATCTTAACAAAATCTATAATCCATACCAACTTTTTTTAAACCCACAAAAAATATTTTTATCTTCACTTTCTTTTTTTTTTTTTTCAATTTTTAGAGAAAATAATAGATATATCTTCTTTTTTTTTTTCAAAATTCATTTATTTAATTTTTTTAAAAAATAGAGGGATAAGATTCAAACCAAAAAATAAAAAAACAAAACAAGCAAACACATGGTGCAATCTGGTAAAACTAACAGTGCGATTTAACTTTGTTAATGGATGAACAAATTGAAGACCAAAAAAAAAAAAGAATAAAGATGTGAAGTTATGACGGAAAAGAAAAAAAGAAAGAAAGACAATCAAGACAAAAGAATAAATAGATAGACCGTGCAACCATTAACCTATGTTCTTTGTAAGAATCATCCGTAAACAAATCTGAAATTAGAAATTTAGATACTAATTTTCAAATAAACTAAAATTCAAGAGAGATTAGCTCATTTAGCCTAAAATCCTTGCCAAACAATTATTTTGTGCTTTTAATTACTTCGTTTAGAATAAAATAGGTATATGCTAGAAAATAAAAAGGTCAAACATGCACTTAAAGTTCTTATGTGCTTTGCTTTTAAAGGAAAACAGACCATAACCAAACATTGTTTTTATTATAATATTATGTACTCAAGTTGAACAGGCTTGCTGCATTTTCTGCACTGGAAATGAAGGGAGGAGAGATCTACACTGCCAAGGTTGAACATGTTCAGCTGCATTTTCTGCTACAACGGGGGATCTTTTCCTCCTTCCCTCGAATGCATTTTTAGAAACTATCACTATTTGAACCACCTGGTTAGTGAATGGAATCCCCAGCTCTATTGCAATCCCTCAAGCAGCAGTAGCAGCAAGCTTAGCAGCAATCTTTGAAGCTGAAATAGCTCCACAGAAATGAGCAGAGAACCATACTACCATCAATTGAAGAAGATAGACAAGGTTTGCTAATAAAGGGGAAAGAAGAATGATTCTTATACGCAAGCACGCACAGAACCGCTTCTATAATGATTTACATAAATTATTATTAGCAAGCATTCAATAAATGAGCTATTTACAAGCAATAAGATTCCAAAACAGATACATCCAGCAGGGCATCCAAAATTATAAACCCTAAATCAAGCAATCATTAACTTAAAGATTAAAATACGCAAAAACTAGAACCCATGTCATGCAATTACCAAACACTGAAGCCAAACAATTAAATTTTGGACATTTACATACACATTATGGAGGAAATTGAAACAAAGCACTTAGCATCTTGAAAAATCAAAGCATACAAAATATCTATAAAAGACATACCTTGCAAAAGCAGAATGCCCGCTGTTATATCTTTTTTTGAAGTCATCAGCTTTACAAGGAAAAATCAAAAAACAAAAGAAGAAAGAGATAAGAAATTCATGAGATTGTGCACCTTATTTGTTAGTATTTCTTATTTAATTAGTGAATTTGCGCTTCTCCTAGAAAATTAATTCTGCTAATTAAGCAAATCAATGGAGTACTCAATATTTGGGAAAACGCAATTAAATCGAGCACATTATACTACCATAATAATAATAATAATAATAATAATAAACCCACAAGGACAACTATAGCATTCAGTTCAGAGTCAGAATTGTTAAAAAAAAAAAAATGGGATTCAAATCTATAGAAATTAAGAAAATTAGAATAAATCCACGGAGAAAGAAACAATCAAATAACGCAAAGCTTAGAGTTCCTAAAAAACCCACAACAGTTCAATTCAAATCCAGGTTACGCAAAAAATATAACCCTATAAATCTAATAAAAAAATCAGTATATAAAATCAATTCAAATGCAGCTTAGCCAATATATATATAATCAGTATATAAAATCAATATCAAATACTTATAGTTAAATATTTACAAATTTTTCAAAACAAGATCATCGCCCTCCGACAGCAGATCTGTAACAACCTCATGCCGTATGACAAGAAATCCTCTTACTAAAAAAAACCGTAGGAGGTTAAAAAAGAAAACAAAAACATTACATGAGATTCCTTCAGTTTCACTTGTTCAGAATCTAAAAAGAAAAAACAAATGAAATTGATAGGAATCAATTATAGTGTTTCACATTGAAACAACAAAGATCACATCAGATAACTTGTCAGTCAGTATCTACGGTCTCATAATGTTCATTCCCACAAAGGCTGATAATAATAGCAAGGCCACTAATATTTCGCCGTTGTGAGAATGAAGCATTACGATAGCGTAGAAACACTGCATAGCATCCATCTATTTTAGGGTTTTCGAATTGAACCCTACCCTACTTATAGAACTGACCACCCTCGTTAGTTATGTTTGGGGCCACAAACGCAAGTTTAGTGAATGTAGTAAATGGAATGGGCTGGACTCAAGTAAACCAAACATTTATGCATCGTTTGTTTATCAATTTTCTATTTATCAGACTTCAAACTTTAAGAATCTGTCTAATTAAGGTTTTGTTTGTTTAGTAGAAGAAGGAGATAAATTTGATAGACAATTATTTTTGAAAAAATTGGATCATTTTTCTAATTTTTTAGAGCTAAATGGACGCTTAAACTGTCATGTGTTTTGCTTTCAAAATAAAGCAGACCTTAACCAATTGAGCAATTTTAGGCCTGTAAATTGTGTTTGTTTCATGAGTTGTTTTGTAACCGGTGTTAAATAAAAAATATATATATATATATATATATATATATAAAATGTGATTAAAATTCAAATCCTTGAAGATTTGAAACCTTGTTAAAGTAACAGTAAAGTTTTAATGCTTGAAGGCCAACTTATTTATTTTCGAATTATAAATAATTATTGCATTGAAAGTTTTATTATTTTTATTGTATCCATAAAAAGTTGAGAAATTAATTTATATTTACCAATTCTTTAAACATAAAAGGAATCGTGTATATTATGGGAGACTAATCGAAATTTATAATTCTTCTTCTTATTTTTCATGTTTCTTTTTAATTATTTTCAATTACAAAAAAAAATTATTCATTTTAACTATGAAATAATTACATCCTATATATGTTACATTGATGATTTGAGGTAAGATTTTGTGACTTTTCTCTCACTTAATATAGATGTTAGATGGATATGTAACAAGGAGACCAGTTATT